ACTAACTAAAATTAATACATTGTATAGTTACTATTTGACTCTATAAGTGTAACTATATATCTTTTATGCTAACTATTCAATCCAATCCAATTCAATCCGCTTTTGGTCAAGTCAATCCTTTTTAATGTTTAAATAATAACGTTAGGATATAATTTTCTCAAAAATGCAGAAATTACTACCATATCATACCATACTTGTCTTCGCAATACTGACACTTGTACGGCATGTATACATTGCCAATATGCATACAATTTAAAGTTCAGTTAGAGATTCAAATAGAGCTTCGTTTGATTATATTTCTTTAACTCTTTATGTTAATTGAAATGAATTTCGAAATTGACAATCTTATTATTTATAATCGGATATTCAAATATAATTAAAATAAAATAAATAAGTTACTAAATCATCCATTAATCTTAATTAATTGATCAATGAATACATATACATTCAATTTGTTATTAAGGGGTTTGGGTCTTAAACACCGAATACTGAAATCTTGAATAACCCAAATCCTGATAATACCAGTTCAAAAATCCCGATACCCTACCGTAATTTTATTGATAAAGTGATTATTACATCATTTCGTTTAAAATTAAGTCTTACCTAATTTTAACCCTAATTAATCTTAATTTGTTGAAATAAAGAAAATTATCGTGCTCAACCATATGAACGGAGTTTATAAGAAAATTAATTATACAATAATATATTTTAAGCTAATAAATAAAACCTTAAATAATACTTTTTTTTTTTTACATTTACCTAAATTATAGTAACTTGTTTCTATATTTTCAAAATAATATGTGTAAAGATAGTAATTATGGAATAGTTTGCTACTAAAAAGTTTTCAAAAATCCCTACTTTTAGGTTGATTTTAAAACTTTTATACTTTTTACCCCGGGCTTGTTTAAAAGGGTTAATTAATAGATATCCAAAAAAAAAAAATTTCTAGTTAAATAATTTTTTTTTTTTCATTTTTCGTGATATTAGATTTTTAATCCTTGCGATTTGACCAAAGGTTTCTTTTTTTATTGTTGCAGTATTATATTGGTTGTACTTTCATCTATATTTTAAATAATCGTAGTTTGCATTACCATTAAAAAATTGCCGATATCTTGAAATATAGTTTTTTATTGAATAAAGCAATTCGTCTTCTATGAATATATTAATAAGTTGTTAAGATTTTCTTTCCAGTAGATTTTTCAAAAAAATAATTCGTCTCAAAATAAAAATTTGTTAAATAATATTAAGCTTATCACAAAAAGTAAACAAATTTACCTTTTTCGTGGTTCTTAAAATGTGGTTCTTCATTTTTTTTTTAAAAGAATTTAGTATAATGACGAGAAAGAGAATGATAATGAAACTTCTCTTCATAATTTTAAGTCAACATCATAAAATCACACAATAACTTATAAGTAAAGGTGTGACAAATCTAGAATATTTCGGATAATGATAATGTCGGATCCCATTATTAAGTACTTTTATTAACAGAAAAGAAAAAATCAAGGAAATTAATTTGTAAATTATATATAAATAATGATTATTTTATATTTTTTTCTTATATTAAAACATTTTACTTTAAAATATTACACTTCCATAATTTATTTGAAATCCATTAAAGCATTAAAAGCGTTTAAAAAAACTCAAATGTACCAAAATTATACCAATTTTTGTATTATTTTTTGGTTATGTTTCAGGTATTCTGTTAATGGGCACTAAGTAACATTTATGGAAAGCGAAAAAAAAGGAATGAGATATCAACTAGCTTAACAAACATGTGCACACCTAAAGTTCAAAATTAACCCGCCCAATAAGAAAACAAGCTCATAATAAAATAATTAATAAAAAGATTGTACTCTGATAAAAGGAAAAAGAATTATTATCAGAAGGGGAAAAGTAATGATCGAAACATTTTCCTCCATTTAAAAGTCAACAGGGATTCGATCATTGTTATAGATCGAAGCACTAGATTTATTTTTCTCCATTTTCATCATTTATAAAAAAGGGAACATTTAGCTTAGAATTCTTCTTTTTCTGACGTCTTTGATTTGCATTCCAATAATTTTTGATCTTATTGTTGGAATGACGCCTATTAAAAATTTTTTTCATGCCTGAACTTAAACATTTCCAACAAATTTTATTCGATTTTCGGTAATTTGGAGTCTGTTCAATAATATATCGTTTTTCATCCTCCGTAAAAGCTTCCTTACATACTATTCGAATAAATAAAAATATTAAATGGTGCTATTATTTTTAAAAAATAAAAAGAGAAAAAAAGGTAAGATACACTCACTATTAGGATCGAGATGGTCTCTCCAACTAAATCAATTTATAAAAAAATAAATTATTATTATTATTTTTTTTTATGTAACAAAAAAAAAATCAATTAAAATTAAGCTTACCGATTAGATAATTGTTTTGGTGTGTATTTCGGCATGAATTCACTAATCTTTACAAATCGATCTGGACGTTTCTCAAAATGAAACATTAAATTCTTGATGGTCTCATCATCCTACAAAACGAAATCAGTACGGTTTAATAAAGTAGTTTTAAAAAGTAGTAATAATGGCTGATGATTTATTAACCCACTTTTTCGTCAAACTCCGTCATTTCGCAATTAATAAATTATAACCAGAGAAAAGAATGTACTGAAAAATAATAATAGTAGGAATTAAAGGAATTTAATTATTTTTTTTCTAGAAATAAACATTCAAAAAGAAATATCAATTATAGCCAAAAATCATTGTTGAAAAATATTGCAGTTTTTCATTGTATTTTTTACAGTTTTGTGTAGCTAAAATCATTATTGAAAAAATATTGCACAATCGAAAATGGAATTCTCATTTGGGCAGGGCGCAACATAGACTTTTCTTATTTAAAAAAATTTATTTTCAAATATAATCAAGAAAATTATTTCAAAGAATATTTTTTTACAAATTTCATTGGACATAAAATGAGAAAAAAATTGATTAAATTAAATGAAGTATGTTGAAAAAAATTTGTCAACAGTTACAACATTTTTGTTTTTACTAAAAATTTTTTTTTTTTTTTTTAGGAGGATGATGCTATCAAAAAATATATGAAAAAGTTTAAAGATGACCATAATTGTTATGCGATGATTAAAGATGAGCTTACTAAAAAATTTAAAAAGGATTATACTCATAAACAAATTCGTCAACGGTAGGACAACGTATTATTTTGTTTGATTTTTT